AATAACAATAAAATTTTTAAGTTCCTACTAAGATACTTACTTTTGCCTGTTGTAAGCATTCTCTTTTCTTAAGTCATTGAAGGAAGGAAGGAAGGAAGGAAGGAAAGCAGGCAGGCAGGCAGGCAGGCAGGCAGGCAGGGAGGGGAAGGGAGGGGAAAGGGAGGGGAGGGGAGGACAAAACGTAATCCACGAAAAGAGAAAAGAAAAATAGGTTTGGAGGGAGGGTACTATCAAGAAGAGTTGGGCTAACAAGGGTAAAAGAGGATATATATACAGTCAAAATAGATTGTCAGCAAGTATGAAAATAGAACAATGAAACCTGTTGAAATCAGGAGGGAGAGTTAAGAGAGAAGGGGGTAATCAATTAGAATATATTGCATATATGCATGGAAATATCACAATGAAATCCCTCCTTGTAATAATATATGCTAATAAAAATGTAATCTAGTACAAATCAAATATCAGAAATACTTGGGATCAGAAGTAGTTCAGATTTTGAAGTTTGGGGGAAATGTTTTGTTTCATCCTTTTTTCCTTTGGATTTGGAACAAATATAGAGATTTGGTGAGTCCACATCACAAATCCAAAACTGTGAAATCTAAAATGCTCTAAAAATCCAAAAACATTTGAGACTATACCACAAAATTTCTGGATTTCAGATAGTCAAAGCTGGAATACTCAAACCCATACTATACTGTTTGTAAGAAAGACTATATTCAAATTATATGTTGTAGAGATCCTGGGGGGAGAGGGAGAGCAGGTAAACTAAATCAACATAAGTGCAAGGAATGCCTGTATTTTCCAAATGATTATTTTATGGATCATTTTAAAGATAAGGGATGAATATAAAAGATGGATTGAAATGAATATAAAAGAAGGAAGAAATGTAGAGTAATAAAAATATTTAAACAATATACCTCTTCCTCCTCCCCCTGGAAGCAAAGGTGAGAGTCTGAGTGGACCCTCCAACAAAGTTGGAGGAGAGAGAAAAGCTCTCGTTTCAGATGAAGGTCGGCCCAATGGTGAAGGAGCATATGGGGAATGCTCTGGAATATCAAAACAGCATATTTAAATTCATAGTTGCAGTCAGCTCTACGATAAAGCGAGAATTCCACTTAAACCATTTCAGGGCATCCTGTTGCCAATTTAAGTTAAAATTTACTAACTTCTGATTTCAGTTCCTTTGGATTTGCTAATACAGGATTGACTTAAATATGGTTTTAATTTTGTCTACCAGGTTTTAGTCAATAAAATTACTTCTTGGCAAGTAATACCCGTAAATAATCCTACAGGTTAAACAAAGGACGCTGGTGATATTTTGAAATTATGGGAGGACTTTGAAGACGTGAGGTTTCTTGGAAGCAATATGCTTCCAGACATTTCAGCTGGTGAAGCATCGAACTTGGAAGTGCTCAACTTAAATCACAGCCAGATAGGCCAGTTGGGCTCAGATTTTTTTATGCAGAAAAATGAAAAAAAAAAAAAAACACTTTGAAGCATCACAAATTACTTTCTGAATTTTTACAGGATACAAATCAATTTATGTATTATGTTTCATCCAATAAATCACTTTCTCTGTACTCAACATTCCAGACACTTAGCATTTTACAAACTTAATCAGTCAAGCAAATTTCATTGACACTAAAAACAATAATTTCCTAAACATGCTAGGCCTCATGAAATGTAGTTGTTATAATACTCAGTTCAGTTACCAAAAAAATAAGGAAATAAAGCATTATTTGCCCTCCTTGGGATTCTTGTACTGGCCTTAGACAGTTATACTGGTCCTTACCCAAGCTGTGTCACTACTTGAAATTCATTATTATCTTTTTTCATGTAGAATAACTTTAATTTTAATGAAGGTTGTCTCTCACACATGACTTTTATAACTTTCCAGAAGTTATTAAAATTCAATCTATATGATTTATTTTCACAACCACAGAAGCTTAATTTCAATTCAACCAAAGTTTTAAAAACTTTGAACTATTTGGAATAGCATAAAATCACGAAAGATACTCTCAATAAGGAATGGACAAAAATATTAAATGTATCATCAAGTCCCTGGTCCTCCCACGGAGCAATTAAAGCAACCAAAACTCAGATTAAGTTTTCTCTACCTTTTACATACTTTTAAATAATTTTAAGCTAGTTTAATTCTTATTTTTTAACCCATGTAAATATTACAGTGGATGTATAAAAAGTTGTAATGCTATTCCATGGAAATACTCCTTGTTCATTCTTAAAAAAAAAAAAAATAGTAACTGAGTACCATTCTGAATGCTAAGCCTTTGACTTTTCTTACAAAATTCCACTAAGAAAGAAATACTAACAATTTTCATTATTGCTAGGGAAACAAAATCCAGAAATCTGTAGTTTGTGAGACAGTTTAAAATAGAATACTAGCTCTGAAATCTAAGATTTATAAATAATAGTGCTAAGAGCACTAATTAAACTATACGTGCAATATATACATATACATATAATATGGATTTTATAGGAGGGGTTATAAAAAAAAAAAAAAGAGTACCTCTGCCAAATGCTGTATTTGGAACATCAAGTGCATAAGGATCTTTCTCTAAAAGTTCAAATTTAAATTCTGTTTCAGTTAATCTGCGAATAAAAGACAAAAATCTCTAAGTTATTCATCCAGAAGTATCCACATTTTAAGAAAAATTCTACTACCAAATAAGCCCCTCTTTTACCCTCAATTTATCTACCTAATAGAAATAGATCCTCCACAATTGTTCTGATGAAAACACTTTCCTATTATCTCCCACTACTTACGTTGCGGTAACCAGTTTCTGACTATCTAAAGATAGGAACATCTTATTGAGGTTCAGAATTGTTTTGTTCCTTCTTCAATTCTTTACCAAAAAAAAATCAAGGGGCTAGGAAGGTGGCCATAGGAAGGTGGTGGGAAGTGGTAGAGTGCTTGCCTTGCATGCCTGAGGCCCTGGGTTTGACTCCTCAGCACCACATAAGCAAAAAGAAAAAAGCCATAAATCGCACTGTGGCTCAAGCAGTAGAGAGCTAGCCTTGAGCTGAAGAGCTGAGGGACAGCGCCCAGGCCCAGAGTTCAGGCCCCATGACTAGACCAAAAAAAAAAAAAAAAAAAATCAAGATATTTTATTACAATGAGTACTTTGTTTTTTTTATCCACATTTTTGAAGTGGAGGAACCCTCCAAGGTCAGCCAGTATAATTCTGTTATTTTATAATGAAGGAACATGAGGACGGAACTTGTTGGGAAATGTCAAGATTAAAACCCAGCAACTTTCCATTACAATGGGATCCATCTGATTCCAAACTTAATGTGAAACTGAAAATCCCACTGACTTGTCTTTTTGTTTCATTCTTAAACTTTTTACCTTTAAAATATGACAAGGTAAAGGAATCTTGTTTCTGTTTTTTAATCATCAGAGTTGAAATAAAACAATCATTTAAGTTAATTTCTGAGAGTGGAAAAGACAAGCCAGAAGACTAAAACTAGTACTCAACAACATTAATAGTTCAACAAGAGACTAGAACACTCTCAGGAATCTGTAACAACCATTAACTCTTCCCTCCTATTGCAACTTTCATTTTCCTTTTCATCTTATCTAGGTACAAGACCACGCAATATAACAAAAAACAAGATGAAGGGGTAAGACACATGTGTGCTTATCTACTAGCCATAGGAAAGTGGTGACGACCTGAGCATGACTGACTCAGGCATTTATCCTTTCTCTTTCCTCCTTTTCCCCCACCTACACTGATTTAACTTTAAAAAAAATTACAAAGTACACGTTTCACAGAAGAACCTGTGACCTATTTTCTTCAAGTGCCACTTCAGTGATCTTTCTAAGATGAGTATTTTAAACAACCAAAAAAAAAAAGGTAGCAGGTCAAACCAGGTAAAGCTAACAGATATGCTGGATTCATTACAAGGTTTTTTATTTACTTTTATGAAAGTATACTTAGTTAATACAATAACAATAAAATTTTTAAGTTCCTACTAAGATACTTACTTTTGCCTGTTGTAAGCATTCTCTTTTCTTAAGTCATTGAGGTTTCTTTCAGCAGTCCGAGCTGCCAACTTTAAAAAAACACACAAACACACTTAAAAAAATTCACATAACTTGATAGGGTTTTCATAAAGATCACAGTGGTGGTATATAAATATCACAATCATTTAAATCAGTATCAATTTCTAGATGTAAAGCACTTCAGTTTTTTATATAAGCAGAAGATACTTGCCGAGGGCTGGACTTTTTTTTTTTTTTTTTCGGTCG